TTATCAATATGAAACCAAACCGAGAAGCCAGTTGATACAGGTCACGCTACACTAACCCTCTTCCTGTTCCAGGTACGTGCCCGAAAAATCAATCAACTTTCACGGTGTGGGCAGCCGCGAAGTAACAACCTTCGCCCACGCACTTCCAAAAGCCCATGAAGCCTTCCTGAGCGTTCTCCTGAGACTGAAATAGACACAAGTCAGACTGGAGAAAACGACAGACGAGAGGACCATAACAACAATTTTTCTTCACCAAAATACCTGATATCTTTTATTTACAAAACCTCAGAAATTTAAGCCATGAATAAACAAATCTGATTGGTTGTCTAAACTCAGAAAACTAAGGCATAAATAGACAAATCAAAACTGTACAAGGTTATCTTGTCTAGAACATGCATAGATTAGGACTTCACGGTTAACAAAGAAGCTTATTTCTCCCAGTAATTCCTCCTAAGAGAGCAATATATATTTAAACACATATATGTCATCTTATAGGCATCCATGTCGACAGTTGGAAATTTGTAAACTTACGTATAAAAATGCGTTTGTATAACAGCCTTTTAAGGATGAAATAGCCAAAAATACATCGTTATCCTTTTCTCTTTTGATATCTCCTGATGAGTATTTCCTACGACCATTCACACAGTGAGTTTTAAAATATTCCCAATTAGTTGTATGTGCTTTACAAGTGTTACCTGTTGCACGTCAACAAATTAGAACATGAATGCTTGTTTTTTTTATTTCCTTCACGTTCCCAGTGGAACATAGGGCCTCAAGCTAGTGACTTGAAATTTCTGTAGCATTGTTTAAATTTACAGAATAGGGTTGCTAGCTTCATGCCCAACCTTTCCTCTTCACCAGTCTTATTAGTGGTTTAGCGAGGTAAACGAGTGCGTCCACAGGCCGGGAATCGAACCTCGGACCATGTGCATGGTCGGCAACCGATGAGTTTAAATACAGTATTACACCCTTAGACCAACTTTTTTTATTTTTGATTACAGCTGATTCCACACTGTATTTGGTACAAGTATGGAATTTTCAGCGTGGATATCGGTAGCCCAAATTTGCAGGCCGACCGTAGGTATCAGTGTGCGTCGCGAGGGCTCGAACCCCGGACCATGTGCATGTTGGCGAGAGTCCTAACCACTGTTAGAACGGTTAGCTTCTTTGTTTAACCATGAAGTCATAATCTATGCATGTACTTGACATGAAAACCTTATTGTTGGACAATTTTAATTCGTCTACTTATTATGGCTTAATTTTCGGAGGTTAAAAATAACCAATCAGATTTGTCTATTTGTGACCACTTTCGCTGACTTACACCATCTCTGGCGTAGGCGTGACATCCGGTTATCAACCAAGGGACGTGTGTACTGCTCACCAGTTCGCTCCGTCCTTCTCTATGGCTCTGAAACATGGCCAATACGCGTTGAAGACATGAAAACGTTGACTACTTTCGACCATAGATGTCTGCGATCTCTGTCTCACGTTAGGTGGTTTCACAAGGTAAGTAATGTTAAGTTGACGTTAGGCGTAGAGTGTTGGGCAAAGAGGGAAAATCAATCGACGAGACTATAAAGTTACATAGACTAAGATGGCTAGGTCACGTGCTGCGCATGCCTAACCACCGCCTCCCCCGACGGGCATTGCTAGCTGATATAGGTGAAGGTTGGAAAAGAGCCAGTGGTAGCCAAACAAAAACATGGCCTCATCAATCCATGAAAACCTTGACAGTTAAACTGAGTCAGTCAGGTAGGGAGATGCAGACTCCCGGGTTGGGGCCCTCGGGACTGACTCCAGAAATCAATGGCTGGAGACAATAGGCGACATGGCTCAAAATCGTTGTCAATGGCCAGCGCAGATGTATTCAGTCTCTGTAATCTTTCATATTCCTCCTTTCTACCATTAACCATTCTGTTTCACTCTTATACTTGTCAAAGTCTATTGATTCTCTTCACTCATCTTCTTGTCTACCTTTGTGTGCTATTTGGAACGTGGCAACTCGAACTGGTGCACTTCGGTGCCAAGTTATATGTTGAATCCAGACAGACAGATTTAAACTTCTGAGGTTTAGTAAATATAAGATACCATGTTTTATTGTCGGATAAACGTTGTTGTTGTCGTTTCGCTCGGATAGCTTTCCTGAACTTCTTGTTCCTTTTCTCAATATATGAATAAATAAAATGATGGCGTGAGGAGGAGGAGGAGAAGAAAAGCTACCGCAAGGTGTTTTCATAACCCACAAAATGTTAGCAAAAGTCACAACAGGATAATATCCTAAACACTGTAAGATAAAATTATTGATAAGAGACAGAGCACCCGAATGCATCAGACTTCTGAAAAAAGGAAGAACTGCAGCGGTTTTTGCAGAATAAAGTTGTACCATCATTGTTTATTTCGTTACCTTCTCATCAGCTGCTTACAGGCCACAGTCATTATTCAATACATCTACACAAAGCAATTTTAACATACTTGGACAGAGTTTGTTTTAAGTAAAATTCAATAAATCAATATATGCATAAAATATTATATATAAATAATAATAATAAACACTATTCCGAACAATAATGATCATACACAATGGAGACTTTCCGGCATTACGTAACCAGATGAAAGAGAGATGAAAAATATCCAGTTACCAGAATGGGCAAAGAAAAACTGATAACCGCTTCTTTCTAAACGCATAAATCAGGTATCAGGCACTCGACAGAAATGGTTTCAGCAAACTTATAGAGAATTGAGCTATTTTGCCTATTGATTAATTTTGAACGATTTTGCGATTTCCACCTCATGCATGACCCATGTGTCAAGGAGATGTCTGGCGATGACACTCTGTAAAGCATTTGTTCTCTTTAGACATGCCCTTCTTTCTTTCCTTCCAATGTGTAATAATGACTTTGGCCTGTAAGCAGCAGCTGATGACAAGGCGACGAAATAACCGATGATGGTACCACTTTATTCTGCAAAAACTGTTGCAGTTCTTACTTTGTTTAAATATTCATTAAGGCGAATAAATGTATGAGGCATCAGACATCGTTGTTATAACATTTCATATAAAATGATTACAGGGGTATTTTCTCCTCTAAGCATGTAAAGCAAACCTAATCACACAACATAAGACCAACTCTATCAACCTGAGGTAATTTTTAAAGGCCACTTGTCCTCCCAACCACCAAATAATCAAGTATATCGAAGTTGATAGGCTTAGTGCAAGTTTGTTTTACAATGACAGGATAGCCATCACCCATCCTGCTGCTTTTCCAACAGCAGGACCAGACGGAATCCCAGCAGAAGCATTGAAAATGGACCCACAGAGAAAACAGAGGACTTGATGACGCCATTACTGGAGAAGGCATTGAAGGATGGCGAGGTACCTACCTGGGAAGCATCGTTTCAACTACACACGGACAGAACTGACGAGGATATCAAAGAAGCAAGGATCGGAAAAGCAAGACAAGCTTTCATTACCTTCAGGTATGTGTGGAGGTTAACAGCCCACTCAGCATAAAAATGAATATAAGATCCGGGTTTTCAACTCCAATGTGGAGTCAGTCAGTGCTACTATACGGATCAAAGACCTTTAGAATAGATGTTTTCGCTCAATACCACTCAAGATCAGATGGCCAGTGAGAAAACATCAGCAACAGAGATCTCTGGCAACGAACGAACCAACACAGCAGGAACCGATTATGCACCAGATAAGCAGGAAGAAATGGAGGTGGATTGGCTGGCCATACTCTGAGGAAACCATCAAGTGAGTGACATCACTAGACAAGCCATCGCTCGAATGGAAAGCGGCGAGTTGGTCTTCAGTGTGAGGGTGACTTGGAGGAGGTCATGTGAAGGGGAGGAGATGATGGCATGTGTGCAGACTTGGAGTGGGGTGAAAACGCTGGCAGAAAACCGAACGCAATGGAGACGTGAGCGGCTGAAGCCCTATGTTTCTCTAGGAATTAAAGGAAACACAATAATAATGGTAATAATCCAATAATCGATTTCTGAGATAATCAAAACTGGAACCTACAAAAAGACTTTAAAATCAAGCAAGATATAGCTGAGAGAGAGAGAGACACTCGGATTTCCAGTTATAGTAATTATTATTATTATTTCATATATTTTCTTTTACATACAAACAAACAAACATACTACATACATACGTACAATGATGACTACTCACAAAAACTTGAAAAAAAAAATTGAAAAAAGAAATCTCATCATAACGCCTTCTTCTAGTGTGTGTCTAAAACAACCAAAAAGGGAGAGAGGAAAAGCAAACAAACAGGCAAATTAACAAAACAAAAAAAAGAAAAACAAGAAAGGAATTCAGCACTGTGAAAGGAAAAGGAGAAGACGAAGAAGACAACGACAGTTGTATTCTTGAAGCTAAGAAATAAAAAAGAAAAACAGCGACAACATATCACATACTGTGTGTGTGAGAGAGAGAGTGTGTTTGTCTACGCTAGAGAGAGAGAGCTCAACCACTAACACTATAAGTACATAATGTGTATATATGAATGCAAAACAGAAATACAAAGATATTGTTGTTATTATTATTGGTGCTGTTGTTAGCTGAATGAGAGAAGGGCGACATACACTCACTCATCTAATCTCTTCACAGGACTTGCGGCAAATCTAAAAATGCAATCCATCGTCACCATAATCATTCATCATCACGTGAACACAGTCTCTGCATATATGTACGTGTGTGTGCGCGCACGGGCAGGGAACAAAATCACACTCTAACACACACACAGGAGATGAGATAGGAGGGGAGGAGAAACACACACCGCGCCCCCCATCCGTCCCATCACGCTGCTTTGTGTGAAGAAAGTAGTCGTCAACAGTCGTTACCGACAGAGAGTAAGTCGTCGCAGAACAGCAGATGACAGATACACTTTTGTTGTTGTTGTTGTGTTTTTTATCTTCAAAAATAATAAAACATGAGAAAAACTATGAACAAAGTGAATTGTGCACACTGAACAGGAACACACCCAAGCACGCACACACACACACACACACAAAAACTGGCAGATAAGAACAAACAAATCAATAATAACAGGCAATTTGGAAAATATGACAAGACAAGTATACAAACAAATTCAAAATTTAGAGAACAAGGGTAAGTGTTGCGCTGCAATGTTCAAGAAAAAGCCCCCGTTCTACTGCGGCGGTGGGGGGGGGGCGGGAAATCAACATTAGAAACATGAAACAGAAGAAACACAAAATCAGAAAATGTGGAGGAAGAGTAGGAGGAGAGAAGTCAAACGCATCACACAGCTGTAGTAAATCATAAAATAACACACACACACAGAGTACAGCTCGAAAGAGAATATGATGAATACAAAGTGATAGGTCATACAATTACACTATATGAGAGTTACTCACCCATTCACTCACTGACTCACTCACCGATACTCTATCATCACATTACTTGTTGCCAACAAAGTAAACATAGGTATGATTGATTATGTAATTAAAGTAATGAAATGGGTAAACCAACTAACCAATCAGCGGACAAACATAAATAAGGAAAGAATTTAGAAAACCGACAGAGAAATATGGTCCTACTTACTACACACGACTGATAACTATTACAACAGGTTTATTTTCCTCCATAACACAAAAATGATACCTATCTAGTTAACGACAAACAAACAAACAAACGAATTGATGAATGAAATTAACATTAGCAAGAAAGAAATAGCCAAAAATAGATCAGACAGAGAGAGAGAGAGAGAAAACACGAAAAAAAGGAACACGTACAGACACACACACACACGTGCCGATATACACAATAACCAAATACAATGGACTCTATACATGCATAATAATAATAAATATTATTATTATACTAATGATGATGCAACAAGCTGTATTTTTTGAAAATGAACAACACACGGTTTTCGTCGTCTACTGTTTATTCTTGTAATTATTAATTGGTATGGAAAGACAAATGAAAGACATAAGGAGAAAAACTACAGGAAATAAACCACCAAAAATTAAAAAAAAAGATCAACCAGTCCCACAGTATTATTTTCTAATGAGTGTTACACTACTCATGACAAAGCACTCCCCCTTCGCACATACAACAGGAGCACAACAAAACTTGAAGACAGTGAAAGAGAGAATAATAATAATATTAATAAATAATAATAATAAAGAAAATAGGCGCAGTTTATGTAATCACAAGACAATTACGTAATGATAATAATAATAACAACAATAATAATAATGTTGATGTCACTAATAATAATTAGTATGAAGTGATGAAAATTTCCAATATGAACCCTACTACCACTACTCAAATAGACGGTAGTGATTACATGACAATACTCACAGTCATTACCATTATTGTTATTATTACTATTATTATCAATACGGATTTTGGGAGCTTTTTAGATGCATTCTTCGATTCATGGGTATCGTGTATGTACGCATGTCTGTATGTGTATATGTTATCCCACTACATGTAGAGAAGAGAAAAATGACAATATGAGTCGGAGCAATAATAATAATAATCTTTTGAATTTTAACAAACAGGGTTTTGTGATACATTGATGTTATGTATTGATGTACGCGTAACCCGGGGTCTAAACTAGCGCTGACAACGTTCTCTGAAACACATAGTTAGAGTTTTTTTAAAGCACTATCACAGATAGGCACAATTAGAAGAAGAAATATACGCGTATCGGATGACAGAAAGATGCAATACACAGACAGATGTAGACATCAATCAGTCACCATAAAGAGCAGTGTAGGTGTGTGTTTATCGATGAAAATACTAAAGTGCTCAAAGTAGTAATAATAATAACATTAATAATAATCGTAGAAATCGAAAACAATGGATAGAAAATGAAAAAAATCACCAGGTGAATGAATGTCTTTTATACGTCGGTGTCTGTATGAGATTTAGGCCTAACAACTTCCTCAAGACACCGCAGTACATCCTCATCGCCTCACTCACAGAGCTTTAAGGGGGGCGGGGAGAAAATAACATCACGCGTGAAAATATATCATACATACATATGTGTATTGATCAAGATGATGGTGATGACGACCGACGATGTTTCAAAAAGAAGATGACAAAAAACAAGGGGTCAGAGATACACATACACACACGCACGCACGCAAGAAAAACGGTCACTATTTATATATGTATGTAACAAAACGTATTATTTCCTATGGAAAAGAAAAAACAGATGGTCGCTTTTCTTGGATGCTTAACAGAAGAAGCATAAGATCAAGAAAAGTAAGATTTGAAAGGCAGGAGAAATTAGAAGAAGAAGAAGAAGAACACTGAACCACCTATCAGGTACATATTATGTGAGTGTATATGTGCATAGATGTGTGTATATGTATATACGAGAAAATGAGAGAAAGACAGACGCGCACGCACATATAGATGAAAATTATATATATGAGGATCGGAAAGCACATGGATTTTACACACATGTGGTAAGATTTCTCTTTTGCCTTCTTGTTCTTTTGTTTCTTTGTGTTTTTTGCCGCCTCTTTATTGATTATATTTGAACGATGTACATAAACACACACACACACACATGCAAAGTTAGTTAGTTCACTGGTCAATATCATCATTGTCATCGAATACGTCGGTGAAGATGTCGTCGAGTCAGTCAGTCAGGATGATCAATAGAGGGAAATATAAAGTCAACTTGTTTGATGCTCTCTCTCTCTCCGTCTTCATGCCATAACATCTGCGCACACAGGAATGTAACTCACTCTGCAATCAATTGAGATCTTGTTTTCGGAGGTCAGGTCAGATCGGGTCGGGAGTGAGGGGTGTGAGGAGGGGGAAACAACTGATCGAAGATACGCACACGCACGCAGGCACACACACACACAAAAGAACTCGTTACATAATTCATAGTTGAAAATTCCATATCAACTGAGATGGATTTGTATTTGTGTGGGTGTGTGTGTGGGAGGGGGGCAGAGAGAGACAGACAAAAAGGAGTGACAAGATGGACGACTAGGTGGAAAATACACTGGTGAAATATTGACGATCATGATAATGATGAAGATAATGAGAATGATTAGTAGACAAGAGAGAGAGAGAGAGAATTCATTCAAGAAACTCGATTATTCGCAGTATCACTACCCATCATCGCACTAGCATTGTTGTTACTATTGTTATTGTTACTATTACTACTACGCATTGTAGTAGTCATATGATCTAAACTTGGTAAAGTCAATGGACATATCACTTGATCAATAATTTCTGTACTTGATGATGACAATGTTGATGTACCATTACTACAATTGACTTCTGAAGCATTCACCACATGATTATTAAATCCTCCTCCAAGAGCGTTGATTGATGCTAATGAGGTTGTAAAACAGGCAGCTTGAGCGGCAGAAGTTATACAATTTAATGATGACGAGGAGGAGGACGATGCTGAAGCTAAATTTGTTTGATTAAAATGTCTATAATCTGTAGTAGTATCACCTCCACTGCCGGCAGAAGCAGCGGCAACACTAGCAACAATATTACCATCGACAGTGAATACAGTCGCCGCCATTGGAGATGATGATGATTGATGATGATGATGTTGATAATCATTCCGTTCAATGGAATCTTTTAAGACTGTACAATCCTCAGTTTTATTGACTACAAGTGTTGCTAATCCTCCTGCATTGCCGCCAACACCAACACCACCAACACCCCCATTATTCACTTCATCTCCATTAACAACAGTAGTTGTACCAGGTCTTGGTTGTCGATTCTTTAAATGAGCAGCGGCAGCTGCAGCACCCAATTGTAATGAAGCCGATAACAATTGATTCTCTTGTTGTAATTCACGAACACGTTGACGAAGTAAAGTATTCTCCACGCGAATCTATGAAGAGGAAGCAGAAGAAAATAAAGAACATTTTAATGGATGGTGCCTAGCAGTGGAATCAAGCTAGGATGGCGTCAATTCATTGGACCGAAGTACTTGGTCTCAGGTTGACATGTCTGTTGGCTTCTTGTGCAGATGTTTCGAGGATGTCTGGGCATTTAATTAGTATTTAATTGGTGGATGGTGACTAGCAATGCGCATTCTGGTTTGATTCCACTGTTAGTCACCATCCACCAATTAAATACTAATTAAATGCTCAGGCATCGTCGAAGCATCTGCACAAGAAGCCGACATGTCAACCTGAGACCGAGCACTTCGGTCCAATCAATCGACGGAAAATCTAAAATTCAATTACACATTTTGATTATTAAAACACAAAATAATCGAGCAAAGAATATTATTTTCGAAAAATTCCTCTTCTGGCTCTCCAATTATATATACATATATGTTTATATACATACAATATTCTAGAATAGTAGCCAATAATAATATTGGTGATTTTTAAAAATAACATCGATTTGTTAAGTAAGATCACAATGGAATTACAGATCAGTAAAGATGCTTAAATAATAATAATAATAACAACAAAGACAAAATAGAGAATAGAATATCAATTAATATTAGGAAAATTCCAAAAAATTAAGGATCATTCAAACCTAGATGGCCAAACAAAGTAAGGATAATGTCTGAACTAACTTCTTTTGCATGCATAAATTAGGCTTGTTAATATGGATCCCAACAGCCAACCTCAGCAATATTTAGTAGTCGAACTCTTAAGGCAAAATTGAGATTCGTAGGTATGCGGTAAATGACCCTGAAAGCATGGCTAACGTCAATCTTGTGTTCTGTATCCACAAGATGAGTGAGAGCGCTGAGAATATATTTTGTTTGCCCTTTCGCTTTACCGACCACTGTGCAGGGTGATGTTCAGAAATTCGACGAGAAACACGCCTAATTGTACGACCTATGCAAATAACTGACTCACTCCACACGAGCAGTTAAATTGGTAGATACACATGGAAGAGACGAAATTAGGCACTTTGTCTTTTACTCCCGAATGGAAACAAGGAGTGGTTTTGAAGACACAGCGTAATTCGGCGCCAGGGAATGCTCTTCGCTTTACCGCATTTCTAAGGCGCTGTGTTAGTATCTCACTGATATTGTCCCAGAGCAACTGAATTTGTAAGAATAAGGCCTTTTTTGGATCTGTTGGTGACTTGAGCTGCTTTAATTTCCGATCCATATTCTTGTAGATAAACTTTTCTGGATTACCGTTTTCACTCAAGAACCGTTTAATATTATTAAGTTCTTCATCGAGACATTCATCCGAGCAGATTGCTCTTATTCTATGAAACAAGCACTTTATTAAAATGCGTATATATTTCAAGGGCACGAAACTGAAAAATCAGTATACTGACCCGTTGATGTAGGTTTTCGACATACACTTCCGCTTCTTATTGTGCCATCTTCTATTCTGGTCATAAGGACATCTAGAAATGAAATACTAGTCTTTTTCTTTCTCGATAGTAAAAATTACTGCAGGATGAACCTGGCTAAATTTATTCAGGATGTTCTTTGCCTCTCCCCCTCACGTTTTTCATAATCAAAAATGTATCATCCATGTACCGACAATAGAATTCGAGTCCATTAATAACATCCTTCAAAGGCCCATTTTTTCTAGTTTAATTATTGTAATAATAATAAATAATAATCTATGTGTCAGTGGTTCTTTGTTTATTTTTTTATTTAAAACACACAGTCGGTACATGATAGGTGCCAAGAGATGCGCACCACACAACAATAATGTATAAAAAAGGAGGGCGGGAGGGAGTGAGTGAGTGAGTGGTGGACGTGTCATCCACAGAGCAAGGAAGCCAACTTGTCAATATCACATTCAACATTCATTACTTCCTGTTATTTTCAGAGAGGGAAGAAAGAAGGAAATTGTAAAACGTTTCCAGTTGATTCTGCTTCTTAGAGGCATATATCATCTAACGATAAAGCTTCAAGTTACCGATTCAAGTTGTCTCTACGACTCCCCCCCCCATCACAGGGGTCATGATGTACCAACTAAATCTGTAATCTAATACAAATATCCTTCATCTTACAGTGACACGATATCATAGAGTGACCAACTCTCTCCACGTTTTCCATCCAGCCCCAGGGTTAGAGAACACCGAGCGGTACGGAAGCCATTGAGGATGACTTTAGTAGAATATGCGCGCAAGTTACTACTGCACCGGTGTTTCTAAGTGACGAAACTCAATGAATGATGAACTCCATCATCTCCAAACACACACACCGATGCCTGACACCAGAAATACTCACATAATGATGTCATAGGACATAACCAGCTCTACGGAGATATCGAAATTCGAATACCCGGAGTCACTGTGCATCCTCAGCTCGGATGAGCAAAGCTTCACAGACTTAGAGCAAGACAATGGTTGAGTAGCGTACGTGATTGACAACTTTTGAACAAGTCTTGCGGAGAATGAATCTTGAACCGGCGCTGTACATCTATCTTACCACTACCATCAATATAATGACTTGTCAAGGATGCCCATTATTCCCTTTTCTATTCAACTTCATCATAGATGTACTAATGGAATTAACCCTAAGTGACTTCAGCGACTCAGGGATTGACTTGCTACCAGGGAATAATCTCGTTGATTTAGAATATGTAGACGATATAGTCCTACTAGGCGAAGACGCTGATAAAATGCATAGTCTTCTAAACACCTTGAGCTGCAATCTACGGATGTTTGTCTGTCTGTCTGTTTTCGACATAGAACTTTGCACAAATGTGCGGAAGTTCAAGTCGCCACACTCCTTCCATGTAGCACACAAAGCAAGAGAAGAAAATACAAGAAAAGCATAATAGAGACAGTAAGCAGAGGTGTGAAACAAAGGAGGAGTAATAACGAAGAACAATGTAGTTTCATTTGCTATTATAAGTCACAGGAGTGGATGCATCTGTGCCGGCCACTCAGAACGATTTTGAGCCATGTCACCAATTGTTTCCAACCATAGATTTTTACCGTCCCGAGGACCCCAACCGGGAAATCTACTACCTTCCTACGTGGCTGGCTTAAACTAACTGTTGTGGATTTCATTGACTGGTGCCAAGTTTTTGTTTGACCTCCGCTAGCTTTTTTCCAGTTAGTTTAAGCCAGCCACGTAGGAAGGCAGTAGACTTCCTGGTTGGGGTCCTCGGGACGGTAAAAATCTATGGTTGGAAACAATTGGTGACATGGCTCAAAATCGTTCTGAGTGGCCGGCACAGATGCATCCACTCCCTGTGACTTATAATAGCAAATGAAACTACATTGTTCTTCGTTATTACTCCTCCTTTGTTTCACACCTCTGCTTACTGTCTCTATTATGCTTTTCTTGTATTTTCTTCTCTTGCTTTGTGTGCTACATGGAAGGAGTGTGGCGACCTGAACTTCCGCACATCTGTGCAAAGTTCTATGTCGAAAACAGACAGACTTGTCATGTATAATGATGACAGCTACTGTATACTGAAGCAACCTAAAAGGTTACACTGGCTAGAAATAGTGTGTTTCTGATGTTTCTGCTAGAAACATCATTCGCATAACTGTTAGACTAAAGGCGGTTACAATTCTAGCAAGCCCATGTGACCGGTGAGTAACCTGCTGGTCACGAATTCTCATTAGAACTACTCTCCAGACGATTTCTTGTATAGAGCCAATTGCTCGTAACCAAACCTGTAACCAATCAAATCACTGCAAACTTACTGACTGACTTTAGACATAGATTTTTGCAAAAAAGCGGAATAGCTCAAGCTGCTGTTACAGTCCATGTGACACACAAAGGTAGAGAAAGAAGATATTCAAAAGGACTAATAATAAGCGGAAATTATTTTAATGGATCTTGATTTCACACAGTATTTTGGTGCAAGTATGGAATGTGATATAGGTAGCCCAAATTTAGCTGGCCGATCATTGATATCAAGTGTAAGTCGGTCGGGAATCGAACCCCGGATCATGTGGATGGTCGGTCAGACAGCGTCCTAACCGCTGTGCCACCGACGAACAAAAGGAAGTGTGTATGGGCCGACATCATAGTACGACGTTAGCGAATATTATGATATTCCCACGTCTGATCTAGGGTGCAGTCGGCAGGTTTAGACAACCCTCTAAACCATTTCTACATATACACACACACACACAGGAAACCAACTCCACAACAGTGAGGAATAAAGAAAGAATAGTGACATGGAAAAATATGAGGATTGAATGCATATGAAAAATCACAAAGAGTGAATACATCCAACACCACTGTGAACGATTTCAAGCCATATCACTGTCTTCAGCCGTTGGGATTTTTAGAATCCCGAAGACCCTACAACCAACCAGGCAATTTACATAATCGAAGAGGTTGTGAAGTTACATCGATTGAGAGAGATGGTCAGGACATGTGTTACACATTCATCCCTAGCTATCAATCAACTTCCTGATTGACTAGTTGAGATCCTCAGGATGGCGAGAACCAATACCAGTGAAGACTCGAGACAATTATCGGTGATATGGCTCAAAATCGTTCTCAGTCAGTGATGGCACAGATGCATTCATTCTTTGTAATTTATCATATTGAATAAAATTCTATTGTTCTTTAATATTACTATTATTTTTCCATCACTCACACACGTGTTTATTCTCTCCCACTTGAATCTGTCATTACTGTCTTCTCTTGTTTTGTGTAGTACATGAATATTGAGAATGGCAAGCCGAACCGGTACACTTCTGTGCAAAATTCTATGTTGAAACCATTCAGTCAGTCTACACCTCCCTCCCTCCCTTTTTAAATGACTCACACTACTTGCAAAGCCAACACACATTTTGATAAATGCTTACATCACTCAGCTTCTCAGCCTCTACCAACCACCAATCCACCCCCTCATATAAGATTACATGAATGACATACGGTTTTAAATGCCATAATGAGAAGAATTAATGGAGAAACCAGGGCCC